CCTTCTCACTGGGATTCAACTTGTTAATTAGAGACATGCAACTACTTCTGAGGACACTGGGGTCTTTGTTTTGTGGGAGAGGGGGCCTCAGAGAGTTTCTGTTGAGTAGTTTTAGCTTTATGCTGAAAACTGATTCAAAAACGTGCATTTAATACAAAGAAATTGTTTAATTTATATAGATTGTTAAAGAATAATGAGTGGGTTTATTTAATTTTGTACTGGGGCATAAAGTTGGAGAACAAAGAACAAATCTAGCTGAAAGGGTTGAGATTTCTTGAGTTTTAGGACCTATTATGGTCCAACCTCAAATACCATTTCCCACAATGCAACTCAGAATCCTTTATTTGTTATTACTTCATTTAAAAATGTGAAGCCTCCACTCATCAGAGGTCAGCACTTTCAGGGTCACAAGCTCTGTCACAGGCTTTGTATTGCTAATGTAATTAACTTCATGTTTACACTCAGTTTTTTCTCACAGTCTCCTCCATGATGCTTTTCAGAGAGAGTCTGTTCCTCCTGACATACCTGCTGTTCCTAATCAACACTGTGGTGGGGCTGGTTGTTGCCATATGGAGAATAGTAATAACAGCTTTGTACAACATCATCCATCTTGGTCGTATTGATGTCAGTCTGCTGCATCGCACAGCAGAGTCCTATGACCCAGGTACGATTCATTCAATTTGTCTAGAATCCCGGAGTATTGAGGAATAGGCTATATAGACCTTTGTGAACACATCCTTTATGTACAGTAACACTGTTACTAATTTTAATCATCTTGAATGACTTGATGATAATAACAAAAGTATGCAATTGCATTTTTCAGACAGTCTGATTTAAATTCTACTCTGTGACCTTTGACTCTATTTAGCCTACTGCTACTACACACACTTCCTGAAGGTGGAGGTCAGTCAGTCGCACCCGGTGATGAAGGCTTTCTGTGGGCTGCTGCTGGACATGATGGTTGAGGGTGGGAGAGCTGGACAGAAAATACAAGATGCAGAGGAAGGTAGAAATCCTAAACTGGAAACACATAAAGACAAACATCCTCTCTCTCTCTCACACACACACACACACAAACACAGTCCAGCTTTTGTGCCACTACATTTAAAACATATTGAACATTAAGTATTTAATAAGAATGTAATAATAGTGCTTTATGGAAAAAAATGCGTTGTGGGCAGGAGAGGGAGTTGTTGTAATACCTAGAATGATCACAATTGGAAAAAATTAAGCAGTGCTGACTTATTCTTTTAATACAGCCGTGGTTTAACTTCTGTGCTGAAGGCCACAATGTGTTACTCTCAACATGTCAAGCTCAGCTCTACACTGTCCAGCTTAATTATCCTCACTGTCAGGAAGAGCTTTTACAGTAGACTCAGCTAATTGCTAACGCTAATGCTGTGGTCCAATCATAATAATATGTTTATTATTTAGCATTTCTGCTTATTATGCTGCCATGCTGAAATATGCATCCTGGCAATCCTCACTTTATGATTATTACTACTGCATGTTGCAATTGTGTAACATTGTTAGTATAAATGATAAAAAATTTAGCTTACAGGAAAGAGCAACATTTATCACTTTAGAATGGCATGCCAAAATTAGCACAGGACCATTGTGTTTTCATTAAATCCACTTTTCTCTACATTATATTA